CTTTTTTGTGATTAATTTCATCCAACAGCAACCAACTGGCAACCACTGAGAGAATTTACATTGTTCACTAGCAACCACTGTTTGACAGGCAGTCACCAACCAGTCTCCAGGCCTGTGTGACCCAAAAGACAGTTTATAGTGGTAATTAATTACAAATTAACATAACTAATAACTCACAGATGAAAAAGGGAAAAAAACCTTCACATGCAAGACTCATGATTCCACCACCAATGTGGTGGATTGAAGTGGAGATCGTTGATTTCCTGTACACAGAAATTAATCAGCACCTATGAGACCAAGTGCACAAAAAATGTTTTTAGGGACATGAAAATAAGGGTAGAAAGTCTGTGTCCAGATGAGATCACATGGCTGACAGACAGAGGAGTCAGACACTTTAACAACTAAGGACAATTTTAGTATCAAGGCTCACATAAACTGCTTATTTTAAAGTGTGGGAGGGAGCCTCTAACAGCGGTGTCCATTAGTAACTGTGGGTGTTCATTAGTTATTCATCAATAATACCTGACTCCGTCACTCAACATTCCTTTGTTTTCCCTCAGCCAATGTCATCCATTCAGAAGCAGACAGGAGCTAGGACTGTGCCCCCTACTCCCTTGCCACAGTAATTTTTTTCTACCGCAACATCTGCCTCCCTGGCTAATAAAGCACGAGACAGGAATGGACAAATCAATCAGTCAAGAGACGCGCATGCAGCAGCTCATGCCAGCTGCCCTCACAAACACAAAGCACACACTGAGCCAGTGATGCATGAGACAGATGCACAGTACACCTGGCCACAGGCTTACAACAAAATGGAAGTGATACAAGGGGAGAGAATAAAAAAGAGGGAGAAGTGTGGGGGGAGGTGGGGAGGGGGGGTCAGTGCATCTTTTATCCACAGATGTAGGACATGAAAAAAAAGGGGGGGGGGGGGAGAGAACACTGGAAAAACAAACAACACATTCAAATGAACAGTCACATACAGGAAATTGTAGTGTAACATGTTCCTGCGAGCTGATATTATTGTACTACACAGAAAGTGGATCAATAGGTCATTCTTTCCGGGGGAAGAGCATGTAACGATAATAATGTGTTTTCCTATCCAGTGATCTGTCACTCAGTCAGCTGTTGTGTGTAACTGTAGCTTCTTTCCACCCACTGTTGGAAATAACAGTGGCGCTTCGGCTGTGTTTAACAATGCTGCAAAGATCAGGTGATCAACCTACCGAATGTTTAGGGAACAGCCTGCTGCTGCTATTATGTAATGAGTACAAGGACATCAAAATAAATGTCCCTGCTATGGATTGCTCTGAAGCGAAGTAACAAACATGGCAGTTTTGCAATCAGCCACAGTACTGTACCTGATACCGTTTTCAACTTGTGAATTATCTGTCTTTCCACAAGTCATCCTGGCAACATGTGGCCCTGGAGACACCTACTGGACTTTTTTAAGTACTTTGGGTGATGTAAACATAACAATCATGTAAGATGCAGTCACGAAACATTACAAGTGTGTAGTTAAGATCAAAATGAAAGCCATGTTCGAAGATGGTAGACAGATAAAAATACAACTTCAGGATACCCCTAATGTTTTGAACCGGATGCAGGAGCCAATCAGATGTTTTGTAAGGTGGCCTTTGCCGTGTTTCACCAGATTAGGATCTGGGGTTATTGGCGTAGGGATGCACCCAGCTATTCTGATGCTCATTCAAAGCTAGGTATTGTAGCCGTGAGCTGATTTATGGAACTGTGCCATTCAATTGAACATGTTTGATGCTTGCTTAGCCATCCATTAGTGGTACACCGATTCCCAGAAAAACCAATAAGGACCAATCTCCTTCTACAGGACCGAAGAAGCCAATGGCAAAAGGTCCAACAATTTCTTCAATACACAGCAAATTATTGAATATCCTATCACAACTAGCGACCGTCGAATGTCAACTCGTAGCAACAACTGGCATAATGGTGGTTAATAGCCACTAAGCTAAGTCATACATTTCTAAACTGTGAGTGAGCAACTGAATGACTACCAATGATACTGCAACCAAACTGCTAATCTGAACAAAAGTACCGAGCCACCTACACATTACACCGACAGGAGCTGCACAGGCATAGAAAACCAAGCCACGAGGCTTCCAGCATACAGTGTTTATGCTAATGTTAGTCCCATGTCGCTCAATGGAGCGGACTTCTAAATACAGTGGGAGAACAAACCTGCAGGTCACACTGAAATCATCTAGACCAGGGGTTAAAAATTTTAATGTATGAATTTATTTTACTTCTCTGCATTTAAAAGGAATAAAAGTAAATCAGTAATTATTAAAACAGAATAGTTGAGAAAATAAGGAAATTATTGTGAAATGCCAGAGCTTCACAGCATTATTCAAGATATTTTTAACTGTTATATTTTGTGTTTTCCTTTACATACTTAAAGACAATTTAACCATAAATTGATACCCAGTGAGCAAAAACTTGTGTGACAGAAGCTGCAGAAGATGACTTTGCATCTAAATGTTGAGAAATGGTCAAAACATGAAGGATAAAAAGCCTCTTTACAGCTAAAAATGGTTGAAAAGTGAAAGAACACACTTTCACCTCAACACCTCTAAAAGCCATAGGTTTGGACTGGCCAAAGGCCTGTATTAATAAGTTCACCATGCTACACACAATGAGACCGAAATATAATTTAAAACTTTAAAACCTTTTTTTAAATATTAAAAATACAGAATGGCCCCAATTTATTACAAACAGTAATATAAAACTGGTCCTTGTTATCGGCAGTTAGCCTAAGTCAGGGTATGTGTATCCTAGTGGAACTCGAAAAGGATGAATCATTGCAACCCTAACTTTCACTTATGAAATTGTGTCCTTTTTTCAAAAATCTTTCCAAAGTCCTGAATAACAAATTTAGAAGTAATGGGACATTTTTTTAGAGACCATGACAACATCCATGTACATCTGGGTCTTGGTGGCTAACAGCAGAGATTCTCCAACGGTCATTTTCCCGGCCAATTTGAAGTTCTGTTTTTCGTGATCTGCTGATATCGATTTTCTATAACTAAAAGCAAATACAAGCAAATTATGTTTAATGCAGCATTTTAATTTTCAAAATAAAAAGTGATTAATCTTTACAACTTCTCCCAAACTCCAGCGACTTATGGGATCTTTTCTCTGCTAATGTACGTTGCTGTACGCCCACCTTTACCCAAAACATCCTACCTTACCAAACAAAAGCTCCCGCAGCGTTTATATGACAGAACAAAAGTCAGCTACTTACATTATTTTTCAGCGTGTTTATAACTTTACCACATCGCCCCTTTTGTACTTGTCTCCATGATTTTCCTCACACCTGTTGATCCCACACTGCTGGTTTGAATCTGTGCTTTGGATAGCTTTAGCTTTAGCAACTTTGCCTTTGTTGGCTTATTAAAATGTCCATGTTCGCCAGGGCGATGGTGATTTAAGTTTTGTATTAGGTTTGTGGTTCTGGACAGTTTACTTTGGAAAACTTTATAACTCCAGTTACAATAAAACTTTTACACTAATATTATGTTGGCATTTGGCTGTGAGTGTTAGCACAACTATTTACCTGTGCAGCTGTGCATGTGTTGCACATGAATGAAACAAAATGGCTCATAATGGGACACAGATGAGCCTGACTGGCTAGTCACCGGTCCTGGCCAACCACGCTGGAAACTGGACGATCCCAGCCCCTGGCCAGTCAATCGGTGCATTAAAAAAACTCAAATCTTAAACTTAAACACAAAAACAGAGCAGTGAAAGTGTACCGTGTGGGTCTGAGACCTGTCGTGCACTAAGGACCTGCTGCTCCTCAGTTAAAGGCCAGCAGCCAAAGGACTGCAAAGCCAAAATTATTTGTCACTGCCACAACCATACCATCACAGATGTGCTTGTGTCTTGTTATTTTTATGTAATAATGCATTTTTTTAAATTATCTCAAACACCATAAATTATGTGCAGACTTATCATAGAAATAGAAATACAGATAGAAACACACGGTGCAATACTTTGATGCATGTGATTTGACTGTTTGAAGCCCAGGAGGCCACCAGTGATGTGAACAAGCACTCACACACACACACACACACACACACACACTCATTTAAAGCTGGTCTTATTGATTGTCCTGGTATCATCCAGAGGACTGAATTATGTAGATAAAACTAAACCACCAGCTCAGCCTGCTTTGATCACCCATATCTGCCTCACTCTGCACTCTCACAGGTCAGCAACAAATGACTCATGGATACAGTTTTCTCTCGCAAACACACAAACACTGACTCCTGATATTCATCAGTTACATTTAGCGCAACCATCCACTCAGGGGGCAGTCAGAGCCTCCATGTATTTGCTAAAAACAGCAGGATATGCAACTACCATGCTTATATCAAGCCATTAACAGAACACAGTCAGAGTCCAGTTTCAGTCTTGAAACACGGAGTGAGCTTTATTTTGTTCAGCCACTTATTGCTCCTAAAGCATGAAGGGCATCCTAGCTCTGACTTCCCAAAGCTGCATTTTCAGGTAAAGGCAGAAGAAAACAGCATATTCTTTAAAAATGACTCACCAAATGTAACAAACGCCAGATGATAATGACTGCTGTCATCACCAGAGTGCCTCTTTTGTTTTGAACAGGGAAACGTGGACCCAAGTTCAATTGCCTCTACAGCCCCAAGTGTCCTTGAGCAAAACACTTGAAGCTCTATTTGCTCAACAAATACAGTCCAGTCTACCTAAAACACCGACTTTGATTCATTTGCAGTGACAAATTATCACAGTGATACAAACAGGGGAGAGAGTTAAGTTCATCCTTTCTGGATAACAGCCAACAGCAAAATAGTGTCCATGACTTCTTGTTTTAATCTCTTTTTTAGAAATTAAAGGCAGATTTGACACATTTTCACTACCACCTGTGCACGTTAATATGACGATGAAAACAGAGTATTTACAAATATGCCAAATAAATGTCCTCCACTTACCCTGTAACGCGTGGAAGAAGATTAAGCTCCTTTCAGCCAGAAAACAAAAGCCTCTCTTTTTCTTTCCAGCTATTCTCGCGGCGGTGTTTTGCTCCAAAACAGTTGTTCCCTTATGTAAAATAACCTTCGCGTTAACTCACCTCTCTCTCTGGAAGCAGATGAATGAACCGCTGCGTCTCCCTTGCCAACACATTTGCATAAAGCCCGCCTCTCCGACCCGGAGATTGGCTAGGTTTCCGTTTAAAGGTGGACCCCTTTTAAGTGATTCGACGGAGCCGCACGTCAATAAAACAAAGAGCGCACAACAAGCGCACGCGCCTGTGCCCTCGCGTCCTGTCTCTGTAGCACCGCGTGCGCAGCAGAGAGAGAGAGAGCCCAGTAGTGAAAAACTGTAAAAAACAACACATCTCCAGCGAAAACAGAAATACACACGACACATGTTCGTTGTCCTGTGTAATTTTCTGGTACTTCTCGCTCAAATTCGCCATATTTTATTTTATTATTTGTAAACTTTGTCCTTTAGCTCCTATAACATGGTGGATATTTACTTATCAGAACAGACAGGAAACCTGTGCCCATAAGGTCACAAAGAATTAGACACCAGACAAAATAGCAAAACTACAGAACTCTTAACTGTAACACTCATGACAGGCACCTTGAATGCGATTAATCACTGTCACCGTGGAAATTGTTTCGTTGTTAAAGAACGTTACATGTGGTTTTCAGGACTTCCATGTGGTTGGTGATTGATGGTGGTGACAATGGTGTAAGGGTCAAAAGTTATTTGTACACTTCTCATCCTTATTTGTTGCAATCTTGGCTCAGCCAGGAGGAAACATAGCCTATACCATGTCAGAATAGACTGTATAAAAGTCAGATGTCGTTTGTGGGACTGTGAAGTGAAGATAACATAGAATTGTCTTAACCTGCTTTCTTTTTAATGACCAGCAGGGGGCAAAACTTTTGTTTGCAGAAAGATATGAATAGAAATCGATAAGAAAATAGCTTTTGGCTCACTTGCCTGTGATCCTAGTAAACATGATTTATAGACCCAATCATTATTGTAAAGCCATAATGAACATAAAAGTTTATTTTGTAAACTGTGATCATTAATACAGAATATTATGAAGGGTGGGCTCATTGATTTACAGCTATAGTTACAGTCCCATTGAGTATGTCACGTCTTTAAATTCAGGCTCATCACACCCAGTTTCAAAACACCAAGATGGTGACTGTAAAAACAATCAGCTCAAAGTTTCCTACCAGAGGTTCAGTATCCAATAATTAAGGTCACAGTGGCTAGGCCTATTGCATATGTAGTTTACGGTTGTCAGCTATGATGGGAATGCTAGTGCTAACTAGCAAGCAAACAGTGTCAGATTTTATCTTTTTAATTGAGTTTAAAATGTGTTGCAGTATTACACAGTGTATATACTAGTGCTGTCAGCATTAATCTCATTAAAATGACGTTAACGTCATAACTGCATTAACGCGGCAAATCCGTTAGCAGGTTAGCATGGATTGCCCCGTGCCCGCTAACCGCGCTAACGTATTGATGCAGGCCCACGCACGGTTATTGGCATTAACGCCATTTTAACAAGATTAACGCTGACAGCACTAGTATATTCATTTTACATTTTATTAATACATTTTTAGTTTATATATTGTAATATATGGAACTATACTAACAATTATTCTTGGCTAAATTCCCGCAAAGCATAAATGGCAACACACTGCACTGTCCAGTTAGAACACCTCCAAATGGAAAATTAGCTCATCTATAAGCAGCTCCTGTGGAAACCAGTTGGTGACGGCACCTCTTCATAATTTTTATTCAATCTATATACAAGAGAGTCATGGGTCATGGGTGAGAGTCTTTAAGCTTCTTATTGTTATTGCAACCCTGTCACTGTACACTAATGCCTCAAATCTTGTCCCAGATAGTTACATAATAGTTAACACATGTATTGATTTCTATCATGCCAATACTCTAACGCAGTGTTGTTGTTACAAAGAGAATCCAGACCGAGTGTTTGATTAGAAATCAATGTCAGTGAGCAAAACAGAACTTGTATTAACAGGTAACCTTTTTATTATTTTCCTAATACATGAAAATACATTTAATATTGTAGGTGAAAAAACAAATTCTAACAGATAAAATGTCACAGCGTGATTAGTCAAGGTGAGCCACAGCCTCTCATTTGAGAATAACATAACCTTCAGCACAAGGTTAACCTCCATATCTCTGCAGGAGCACTGCAACACACACTTCTTCTTTTCTGTGGCGTGAGTGTTGTGTGTCCTTCACTACAAGGTAAGTTCTGAAAAACTGTGAAAAAGAACAGGACAAAACAACGTGTTTAGACTTAATTGTGAAATGTTGAACTCCTGGAAAATCTAATTGCATTGCATTGATACCGCTGCATTAATCGTATTAATGCAATCATATAATTGTATAAGTGTTATGCTAAACTGTGCTCACCCATGGCTGTTCAGGTTTCTCATGTGAGATTGAGCAGAAAGAAAGATCTTTTTATCTCTTTCTTGCAGATTTAAATAGAGGATGATGCTGGATTTCAGTGTTAAATTATAATACCATAATATATAAAAGCAGGAGCCTAAAGCTTACAGTAGATTATGCTCTGAATGTTAGAAGTGATGTTGGTAAGCATTTGTTCATGATTAATTATTATACTTAATTAATAATTGACAGTCATCTGACAACCAGAAAAAAACATGTAGCACCCAACCAGCTGCCAAGTGGTTCCAAGAGGGCAGAATCAGAAAATTGCAAACACTTTGCTACCTGTGAGCTGAGCGGTAGTAAAACTTCAAAAAGTGTGGCGCAAACAGGAAATAGAGAACGTTTCACCTTCAGACCAGTCTTCAGGCCTATGTGACTGGAGATTTTGCAGTTGATTTCACAGTCATTAACCTCCTGCAACCACTCCTCCCCAACACAATATACATTTTATTTCCTTGCAAATAGTGGTTACCAGACAGTCAGTGAGTGTTCTCTAGGTCTGTGTGGTTGCGACCTTATTAACTTGACCTACAGCATCACATGTCCAAAATTCCTGTCAAGTTAATGGTGATTAGTAGTCACATGGTTAACGGTCACATGACTGCAAAACCTGAATAGTCATACACTGCATTAAACAACAACAACAACAACAACAACAACAACAGCCCTTTTGGGTTTTTTGGACTGTATGGTATTTTGAGGGGGGTCATTGTTTTGTTTTTTGTAGCCAAAAGTGACTATATTTTAGGTAGACATAATCCTTGATTAGCTTTTACAAGTAAAGTATATAATCCCATGAAAAATGTTTCAGAAGGCACTAGCACCACACAGTCGAGGAGTCCAAATCAGTCACTACCGCCAAGTCCTTAACTTTACCCCCTTATTACCATTACCCAAGCACATCAGTTTTTTTTTTAAATCACCAACCATACAGTTTTGATGGTACAGTACAAGGCCATGATTTATACAAAGTTGTCTTTTATAGTATAAAACATTTAGAGCTTTAGAGCTTCCAGATTATAAAATAAAGCCAAATGCATGAGTGCATTAAACCTGCATTCTGTCTGAAGGCCAACCAAAGGTAAAAGCTGCAGTTACAAAAAGAGTTCTGGTGGAAAACAGCTTTCTGACTTGACTTGTCAGAACTTGTTGAGTTTATGGGCTCAGTTACCAATTTTGAATCATATTCAATTAAATTAAATTCAATTCAATTCAATTCAATTCAATTTTATTTATATAGCGCCAAATCACAACACCACAAAATCACAAATCACCTCAAGGCGCTTCATAGATACAGAGAAAAACCCAACAATCAAATGACCCCCTATGAGCAAGCACTTTGGCGACAGTGGGAAGGAAAAACTCCCTTTTAACAGGAAGAAACCTCCGGCAGAACCAGATTCAGGGAGGGGCCATCTGCTGTGACCGGTTGGGGTGAGAGAAGGAAGACAGGATAAAAGACATGCTGTGGAAGAGAGACAGAGGTTAATAACAGATATGATTCAATGCAGAGAGGTCTATTAACACATAGTGAGTGAGAAAGGTGACTGGAAAGGAAAAACTCAATGCATCATGGGAATCCCCCGGCAGCCTACATCTATTGCAGCATAACTAAGGGAGGATTCAGGGTCACCTGGTCCAGCCCTAACTATATGCTTTAGCAAAAAGGAAAGTTTTAAGCCTAATCTTAAAAGTAGAGATAGTGTCTGTCTCCCGAATCCAAACTGGAAGCTGGTTCCATAGAAGAGGGGCCTGAAAACTGAAGGCTCTGCCTCCCATTCTACTTATAAATACTCTAGGAACAACAAGTAGGCCTGCAGAGCGAGAGCGAAGTGCTCTCATCGGGTGATATGGTACTACAAGGTCATTAAGATAAGATGGGGCCTGATTATTTAAGACCTTGTATGTGAGGAGCAGGATTTTGAATTCAATTCTGGATTTAACAGGAAGCCAATGAAGGGAAGCCAAAACAGGAGAAATCTGCTCTCTCTTTCTAGTCCCTGTCAGTACTCTTGCTGCAGCATTTTGGATTAGCTGAAGGCTTTTGAGTTAAACTGTAAGTTTGGTTTGTAAACCTCCTTCATACCACATTTCAAAGTGGAGGATTATTTCATGCTAATTGGCTGTGAACTCGTCAGTCACCCATCTTTAACCATTTAGTGTGCAGTTTAAAAGCCTACAGCAGAAACGTTCATCCCAAGGCTTGAAAACGAGATGTTACAAAAAGACTTTTGCCCTTGGTCATTTTTAGGAACCTGATCCAGGATCTGCAGTTTTTACACTCCTGCATTCACAAAAGCACTAAAGCTAACCTCAAAGATAGGAAGTGTAAGTATGAAAGTCCACATTGGCTTGCCTGAAACACTAACCAATCAGCTTCATTGTGTTCAGAGACCAGGCTTCATAATCAAGTACCATTAAACTTAACTTGTTGGCACTTGGCTGTAGCTTTATTGTTAATGTACCAGCAGGACAGTGATATTCCTTTTTTCAGCTCTCAGCAAGAAGGCACACATTCCCCAAAATGTCCCCCAGCACTGACCTCAACGCTAAGTCTCAGGTCCTTCAATCATTTTTCACTAAGTATTTTAACAAAATCCCATCCTTATTTTTCCAATTCGTCTTTCTGTCTTCCTCTTTCTTCTCCTCCCTGTAAT